TTGAGTATGGTACCAGTGAATTCCACGGAGATCCTGGAACTCTCTTCTATTACACTACAAGCTGGCCACTTAGGGGGTTTAAGTGGGTACAAATCTCACGTAAAACTGTCTTCCAAACAAGGAAATATATCTTTTTAAAGATCCCCCCCTATAAAACAAAGGTTATTGAGTATAAAAATGTGGTATCTTTAGTAATTGGGTCTTGTAGCAAATACTTATCGAGTCGGTGAGATAGATGTCGCTAGTAACCTGAGCCCACCGGATGTACGGCGTGATATGCCATCTTAGGGTTGCCAAAGTCACTTTACTAAGTTTTGTTACTTTTTATTTTAATCTTTAAGAAAGATACACTTTTATAGCTATATGTAGTAGATATATTGCTGTTATAATTAATTAAAAAATAACTTGTTTTTTAATTAAATTGTATAATAGTTATATGAAGAAGTACAAGGTGTGCGTAGACCGCAAATGTAGGGTTTCGCACCGGAAGAAACCTCGATTACGTCCACGAAGTACTTTATATAAAAACTGATTGATTTCTTTTTATTTAATGGATTTTAGACCTTACTGCTGTATTACAAGATTCAAAACCGTTAATTTTAGTTAACAAAGATTGAATGGATATGAACCGCTGGGGTTACTTGGTCTTTGCCATGTTATCTTTTTATACTCTATGCCAAGACGACTGTCGTCTTTGATTTTTGATTGTCTATTCCAATGTTATAAAGATGAATTGTATGTTTGATTGTAATGAATAGGCTCAAAAACTAATGGGCCGATTTTAAAAATTCTCATAGCGTTAGAAAGGTAATTTATTTGTGAGTAACATAGGCTATATTTTACAATGTTGTTTTAATTCCACGCGGACGGAGTCGCGGACGATAGCTAGTATTATATAATTAAAAACAGAAATACATACGTTGTTTTATTACAAGAACGCATTATCGTCGAATATTTAAAATGCGTAAAAACAATATTATTGTGTTTCATTTATTTCATTTACGTATAACTAATTTATACTGCTCTCTAAACAGTGTAAACCCACTGTTATATCTTACATCATCATTGATGTATAAGGAATGTTATTACATCACTCGTATTTAATGAATTATGATATGGCAACCTTATTTTGATACGTGTTTAGTGAGACATTCACCTCCGGTCAACAGTTCACGGACCTGGCTTTGCCAAATTAATTTGTTTTATCTATATCATTATAATAAAGCGTAAACACACACTTCTTTGTTGCCTAAGATGTCAGCAATCACAGTATATTTTTGAATATAAAGCCCTACTTCGTCATGCATGATGCTATATATTTTCACGCCATTAAACTTAGGGGGTAAATATTTTGGATAAAAACCCTAAATATGGGAAAGAGACCATAAGTTCCTGCGAACATCAAAAAAGAAAGATTGATAATTTGACAAATGTAAACAATAAAATAAAATTTTCATAATTTCATGCGGATGAAGCCGCACGGAAACAGCTAGTATAATATACCGTTGGCCGCGACATAACTGTCATGCGATTGTCGATTGTTTCGCAGCCCAATCAACTGTTCAGTTGCACAACTAAAAAAGTAGTGTGCATGTCCATAAGCTTATTGGAATCAAATTGCGACTAAACAATTGTAGGTACGATAGTTTAGTCAAAAAAGTCATAAATGTAAATCCCTTTAGCGTTGTTGGAAATACGTACAAATCCATCCAAACTTTCGTAATAATATTGCTTAGAAGATTATGTGTTTTGTTAAACTTGGAACACATGGAAGACAGTTTTTATATAGAGAATAATTCTTAAATCTTTATAAAATAAATACAATAGACAATAATCTTTTAACACGATCAACTAAATTATTGTTATGCTAAATTAACATAAAATATCGGGGTCATTGCAATGTTCAAGATGTTCGCATGCTTACGCCATCTACCGGCTTCAAATGTCAGCAGTTTGTTTTGTATCATTGTAAGCAAAGAGTATCTCCGTGATTCGGTCCTAGTCACCTTGAACTTTGCCTAATTGGAACAATTACTACTACTTTCTAATGATTCTATTATTGTTGATAATTAGTTTAAAATTATGGTTACCGAATAAAATGCAAATTCTTTGGCTGTCTTAGAATTCGTAAATAAAAAATTTTTGCTGTTTTACCTCAGAATAATTAAAGATGCAAGCATCCTTCTAATTTCACACACATGTCTATTTTGAACACAAATCTATACTAGTTCAATAAAAACAAAACATTAATAAATATAACAAACACAAATTAATGTTGTAATAAAATAACGCTTTACTGACCATTTTTTTAAAATATCTTGCTTGTAACATTTTCGTGTCACAAGATTGCAACATTTAAAATAATTGTGATACATTTTACATATGTTTTGTAACTTGGAATTTTGCGTAAGTGTTGCGATTTAGTTTATTTCAAAACGTATTTTATGCTTCTGATTAACACGTTCTAGGAAAGTAATGCGGTATAATGTAAACAAAAAGTTTTCATTCATTTGATGCGTTCGTTTTAAAATTCGAACTGGGATATTTCCCAACGCAGCGGTTGTTTTCTGTTTTTGTTTTCGCGCCATTTCTTAAATGTCACAGATGATTAAATTCTCGGATACGCGTTTAAAACTTTTATTAATAAAGACATAAATATTTTCCGCTCTAAATTATATTTTTATTACTTTACTACCAAATTATTAAATTCGGTATAAATAACGAAGATTTACTGCCATTTTAAAATCCACAGTAAACATCACTCTTAGTGTAGATTGTGGTTTAATATGAGAATGCATTTAAAAATCTGTTTTTTAATTTTTTTTTCAGTATTTCATAGTATTAAGCAACCGTTAGTGACACTTAGTACCAATTAACTTAGAACATTTAAGATGGTAAAGTTATGTTTGAGTTTGAAGGTTATTTGACATTCAAAGTTTCTAGGTCATTAACCCGTTGGCAATGTTTATGCTTAAGTATTTGGCGAGTTGCCTACATTGCGTCTAAGGCCGAGGCATACATAAATCTCTGCTTACCCAATCGACTACATGCCAAAAATATTAAACGAAAGATTTTGTAAAACACCATAATCAATACAAAACAGTACTCCAAATAAAAATTCCAAGTTTAAGATCTTTTTATTAATCTTTGACAAAATTAAAAAACAAAAAAGGTTTAATTTTTTACATTTAAATATGACTTTGACATTAGACGTTTGGCATTTGTCGCAAGGAATTTAAAAAAAACATTAAAAAGATCTATAACATGGCCGTTAGCATAATATTACAAGATATTTCTACTTTTTTAGATACATAATTAGCAATGAGACGTGAAAATGTATTTAAAATTCCGGGTCACTTAAAAGGCCGTTAGCATATTTTAATAAAAAAATTGCTGTTATATTAATATAGGCGTCCTAAAAACATGAATAGAAAACATTTTACGACAAAAAAAAATAGATGATACTAGTCTAAGAAACTTTACATGTAATTTTGCACTTATAGATATTCCAGCCAAGCCAGTAATCCAGTGGAAATGAGTCACGAGACTCCATTGAAATGGCCAACCAAGGGTAAATTACTTAATTTTTTTTCTAACAGTATTTTTATGGCTACTCAGCGACTCTTACGATGTTCTACAAGATAGAAAACTTCAATAGCATTTTTTTTTATTATTACGTACTAACAGAATTACTTAGAAATCACGTCCGGGACAACTTTACAAGCATTATAAAATGCAACGGTTCCATTTTATTTTTACACATTTGTAAACGTAAGTCGTGTAATGTCAGAGGCCGGGTGGGTGAACTGGGGGCAGGCTTGACTCGTTGAGGTGCGGAATATAAATTAACATTTTATGGTAATAAAAGTTTTAAAAACTTAGAATAAAATGTTAGCAAGAATGTTTTATAGAAAATCTTGTGTCAATGGTATTTATTTCAGTAAACCTAAATAAAGTGATGACTTTTAAACAAATATATCTTTAACAATTGCCAAGTTTAATGAATTATTGATAATTGTTCAGGACGATTATGAACCGAAGATCTCATAACAATAAACCTTTAGTTTACTGCTGTTTGCTTTTTTATAGTAAGAGGCAGCAGGTAGAAGTTTTACTACATAACTTATAGTTTTAAATATTTTTTTTCTTACTAATGTTACAAATACTTGGATGGATGTTTGTTAGAGATTGTAGTCTAAGTCTGGTCAATGCATCTTGATGTAATTTTGCACTTTAGAGAATAGTCTGAAAGAATACTTACTTTTGTTTTTTACATTGCACGCGAACGGAGTCGCGAGCGAAAGCCACTATTGTGCATATTGTGTTGAATATTTGTTTCTTCTTAAACATAATTTACTACCGCCTACAGTTGTAATGCGCGTGAATCGCCACGCATGATGGCCGACTGCCTCGAGTCATATTTATAACTTTCTTATGTCACTTTCTTTCATTTTTTATCTGTGCATTTCATGTTACATGTAGTTATTAAACATGGAAAATTGCTGTGTGTTTTTTTTTAAATTTTGATACGAGAATTTTATCAACAGCGTTTGGATGTTTATTCTTCACTAGCTTTCGCCCGACATTCTGTCCTTGTGGAATTTAAATAAAACTTAATTAGTAGCCTATATTTTCTTCCAGACTATATTCTGCATCTATGCTAAATTTAATCGAGAATCGTCTACTCGTTTAGGCAGTAAATTCAAACATCCATCAATCTAAACTTTCGCATTTGTAATATTTGTAAGAGTTAAGATTTTTTATTAGTACGTGATATGCTCGGATAAGGCCAAAAACGTTAAATTTGACAAATAAATAATTGTTTACCTTACAAGTAACAGTGAAATATAGTTTCATTCAAACTTTAAAACTCGCAATTTCAATCAAGACACGAAAAAACAGTTTTTTTTTGTAAAATCTTTCCATTACCCGGTCTAGGTTTACGCTTATAACTAACCACGCGATGTCATAAAGTGTGATTTTTGCATAGTAAAGTTTACCTGTATGCATGCACGTGGACAGGGCAGCCTGTAATAGGGTTGTATAACAACAGCACGCAGGCCACCACGTCGCCTTGGACCACCGCACTCGTGATGCTGCCGTGCGGGATGAAATGCTTGATAGTTTGTTGTTTTCCCTTTGCACTCACATTCTGGATTATCTTCAGACCTTTGTGTGATACCTGCATAGAAGAATTCATGTCAAAACTACGCATAGATTCAAACATTAATGTTTCTTTTGTTTTGAAATAAAAGCGACGTATACACGGGAAGAAAACTCAGAAGACTACTCCCCTAAGTTTTATTGTCTTCTACACTCTTTGTAGGTAAATCGGGTTAACTTTAAGGGTATTTCTAGAAGTCTCTAGAATATATCTAAAATGATTATCGCTTTGAGTTCTAATTAAAAAATATATCTATACTAATATAATAAAGAGGAAAGATTTTTGTATGTATTAAGATAACTCAAAAACTATTAGGCTGATTTAAAAAATTCTTTCACCATTAAAAAGCTCCATTATCAGTGTGTAACATAGGCTATAATTTTTCAATTTCACACTGATGAAGTCGCGAACAATAGTGACTACCTGTAGGGTGACTTTAAAAGGCTCCAAGTCCCTGGCCCTCTCCTCCAGCACTCGGATAGCTGGGAGGGCAAACTCCTCGCCCCGAAGCCCGCGTGACTCCTGAGCCCCCAGGAACCACACATAGTACGAAGCTTTCTTTATATCCTTTTTCAACCTTAGCGCCATCTTGTGAAGCTCTTATGTCATTGTTGGAAATCTGTAACAAAAGAAAACAATATCAGAAAGCATGCAATGTTATTCAATCAACACTTTTTTTATATTTCTATTACTGAAATACGAGATATAAATACAGTTAATTTACATAGACCATGAGACATACAGTCGCGAATATACGCATTGTTTCGCTATGTCGTCTTAATACGTACAAAGCGTATTAACAGTAGCTTTTATGGCGGAACACCGTCAGATTCCCTAATTGTACACACAAAAAAATCCGTTTACTATCTTTGAGTCATATGTTTTTTGCATTTATACTATTATAATAAAGCGTAAACACATACTTCTTTGTTGCCCAAGATGTCAGCAATTACAGCATATTTTTGAATAACTCCTTTTTTAATAAAAAGCCGTACACTTGCGTCACGCTTAAGGCTATATGTTTTCACGCTATTAAACTTATGTGGTAAATAAATTAGAGAAAACCATCATGTAGGAAAGGGACCATAGACAAGCTGCTATTATTAAGGACGCAAGGTATGGTAACGGTAATTTTGACATTTGCAATTGAGAAAACAAATGTAAACAATAAAATGCAGTTTTTATAATTAAGGGTGAAGCCGCAGGGGAACAGCTAGTTCTTAATATATTACGTATACGAAAATATTTAATATGAGAAGAAAATTATTGACTAAGGGTTAGATAAATGGCGTTTAAATCTAACTTTAAGTATAATCGTTTGTAGACATTTTAATACAGGGTGATTCTTAACGGTATTTCTTTAACAAGCCTAATTAATAGGCTAAGAAAAAAATGGCCACTGGACCTTTTGGACGTACGGTCAAATTTAACTCGGGATTTTCCGATATTTTTTACAAAAAAAAAAAAAAAACTCTAAAACTATAGTAAATCAGGCAGCAAACTTTGCGTTTAAATTATAGCTATTGAGGTCCTCTACCTCCACAAAACCGTTGATCCGTCCGTTAAGAATCACCCTGTATTCCTTATAAAGCACAGAGCATTGTTGTGATTTGTCTACAATATTTATTATCGTACGTGATTTTGTTACGAATGGACAGAAGTTGGTACAGATTGCTATAAGCATGAGAGACGATTTGTTAGTGTTTATAAATTCTCTCACGCGCGTTTTGCCTCAGTATTTCGCAAACCTTGACACCTTTTTTAATTTGCAAAATACAGCGAAAGTCAGCTAACTTAGAACTTAAAAATATTGTATTATAGCACCGTTTATTTCCACTTTTAAACTTAAAACTTACTTACGTCTTATAAAGTTGAGAGGTAAGAGAAACAGATAATTATTAAGTCAAAAATCTAAATGAAATCTAACTAATATTATAAATGTGAAAGCTTAGATGGATGGATGTTATAGTTTGTAGTCTAAACGGCTGAACGGATCTCGATGAAATTTGACATAGACGTAGGGGATAGTCTGGAAGAACACATAACTACTCACTTTTGTTTTTTTAAATCCACGCGGACGGAGTTACGGGCGAAAGCTAGTTTATGATAAGTGAAGAAAGAAATTACAGTTGTAATGAGATAAAAGCTAAAAATCACACTGGCACTCATTAAAAATGTATTCATAATTCTTAATTCAATTTTACCTTATTTGCTTTTTACTAGAAGTATTGTTGTCGATTTTTAGCCAGTAACTGGAAGGTTATCAACAAAAACAAATATAAAAAACACGTAATTGGCCAAACGAACGCAAATCATTCTTAACGCTAAGTACCAACTACGTGATTCTATTATACAATATTTTCACTGCATGGCATTTTTATTCTTAACACTATTTGATAATACGGTCTATTTTAGAGTACTAACATATTCATCTCTGTATATTCTTATTTCTCGCGATGACTTCAAATGTAATTTACTCAAATTGCATTTGTAAGTGTTATTATAAAAAAACACGTAAAGTTTTCTTCGGCGATTATAGTCACTGCTGTAACAATTTTGTTTTCCTTTTATAGTCAAATATCTCCTAGAAATTCTTTGCTAAACCAGCAGCCGTACGTACTACTTTTTTGGCCATAGTGTAACCATAATGTTAAGAGAAACCGTTAACATTTGAAAAATATTTATGTTCTTGTGTCAGACAATCGGTCAAGTGTACAAACATAATCTATACATATAATAAAATTGGAGTATCAATTTGTAAATCAAGAAACAAATTCCAGATTTTGGGAAGATGTTATTTGCGTTGTTGATAAAGAAAATCGCGTTTAAAAATTGTCTGTTCATCCGCAAGCCGCGTTAGTTCGCCGATTTCGATGGGACTTTCACTGGAGGGCAGCTGACATGGATAGCCATATTATACGCTACTTTTATTAGGATTTCGTTGGGACTTTGACTGAAAGATATCTGGTAGAAGGTAGAAGTACGCGGGGATGTGATAGATGACTTCAAATTGATTTCAAATTCTTTCACCGTTGAAAAACAGCGTTGTTTTTGAGTAAAATAGTCTAAGTTTCTTTATTATTTTTCATATGCTATAAACTAAGCGACCAGTGGTTACACTGTGGGTTTCTGTACCACTTATAACGTCTCTTATTGTACTTTTAAATTTATGCTTTTGTCTAATAAATATAAAAAAAAAACTTAAAAAAATCTGCGTAAACGAAGTATGCGAAGTAGCCAGAGACGTTAAATTACTACTAAACGTGAAGCTTGAAGTGTGAAGCCTGTGTGAGTTTTTACATTTAAAATTAATTAACATAGTGATTAATGTTATCTCACTTATGTTGGTTTTAATTAACAATATATCATTGTATATTTTCTTGTGTCATAATTGTCAATGTATCTACAGTTTAAAAACAATAGGTAAGCGTTTTTTGTCAACGCTGTCAACAGATTGTTGTAAAAGATTTGCACGTTTGTTTATTTCACACGGTATTCTCTAATTGATTTATGTACTGTCACGGACATTCACGATGTTTCACAAACAAAATAGCTTCTGTCCTCGCGAGACCAACTCCGCCTCTTATCGATACTAATATTTTAAAGAGGAAAAATTTGTATTTTTGTATGCATTGAAATACCTGAATAACTGGGCCGATTTTTAAAATTCTGTCACCATTAGAAAGGTAATATTTTTGAGTAACATAGACTGATATTTTTAATACTTTTTATTTTCACGCAGGGTAAGTCGTGAGCAACAGTTAGTTACAAATAACAAGGTAGCGAGTTCAAAAGACGGGATAATAATAAAAAGACATTAGCCGTTTACTAGTGCTCGACCTTTTCATACAGATATTTAAAAGGTTCTTATTGGTTATTATTCCGCGTCCTCTCAAAGCGTACAAAATATACAAGCAACTGAATCTTTAAAGGTGTAACACTGACAGATTTCCCGATTGTACTTATAGCGAAGTATTTGAACAATACTACTATCTCTACATGAAGGACAGTGGAGGCCATATTATGATGAATCTCACGTTTTTTTTACAAGATTCTGTTGAAGTGATAAGTCATGTCAAAGTAGTGTTTATGCTCTAAGTTATTACAGATGTATTGCTCATATTAGAAAGCGTAACTTAAATGTTTTAGAGTTCACACCTTTTAGAAGAATGCTTGATATAAATCTATCATCATCTTCATCATCACCAGCTCACTATACGTCCTCAATGAGGGGTTCGGAACCTACCCTAAGTTAGGGTGACTAGGCCATAGTCAACCACGCTGCACTGCGGGTTGGTTGACTTCACACATATCTTTGAATTTCTTCGCCGAAATATGCAGGTTGCATCACGATGTTTTCCTTCACCGTAAGAACGTCAGGTAAATTATGTACATATGAAAATTAGAAAAATCGAAAATCACATTGGTACATGGCGGATTCGAACCCAAGACCTGTAGATTGCAAGTCAAGTGCTTAAACCACTGAGCCACCGACACTCGTTAATAATCTATAGAGTGCCTAAACTCTTAACTTTTTTAGAAAATCTGTGCCATTGTACTTGGATTAATATATCCGGTTTAAACTGTCCATTTTTAAGATTTAGATAGATATGTCAAAATAATTCTGCCCTTTAGCAGTCAAGCAAAGATTCCGATTTTTTTCTAATGTTTACTTTTGACAATAGAATAAGAAATTGGCCTACAAATTATATTTTCTCAAACGTATACAATGAATAGAAAATAGTCCCGTGGTCTACATAATAAACAAATTATAGCGACCATTGTAAGAAGTTTTTGTTGAACAATAATGGAATAATTAACAATTATGTTAATAACTTAGTACTCTCGGCTTAACAATGCAACTTGAATAGAGAAATAAAGCGATTCGCGGCTAATTTAGGTTACACGGTTAAAACATTCTCATATAAGCTGTTTATATTTTTTTTACTTCGCATAAACATATTTAAATACGTTCTGAATTTTAGCTATTGTTTTTTTAATAAATTGACTCGGAAATCTATACTATTGTAATAAAGCGTAAACACACACTTCTTTGTTGCCTAAGATGTCAGCAATTACAGCATATTTTTGAATAACTCTCTTTTTTAATAAAAAGCCCTACACATACGTCAGGCTTTAGGCTATATATTTTCACACCGTTAAACTTGAGGGTAAATATTTTGGATAAAAACCCTAATGTGGGAAAGAGACCATAAGTTGTTGCCAACATCAAGGAAACAAGGTTTAACGTTTAACGTTTTAACATCATGTCATATCATTTTGACATTTGTAATTAACAATTTGACAAATGTGAATAATAAAATGAAATATTTATAATTCTATGCGGATATTATGAAGTCGCATGGGAACAGCTAGTAACTAATGTACATTTTTTTATAAATTATATAAAGTATAAATACGTGGTATAAAAATAAAGATAAATAGATTTAAATGCGAAAGTTTAGATGGATGGATGTTTGTTAAAATTTGTTGCCTAAACTGTTGAACGGATGTCATTAAAATTTGGCATAGACGTAGAGGATAGTCTGGAAAACATAGGACACTAACTTTATTTTTTTCAATTCCACGCTGATTCTTTATTACTAAAGAGGTCTTTTA